TATTGGGTTGGTGAGTTGAAAACTGCGGGACTTTGAACTAAAATTTATTCAATATTCAACATAAAACCATCATTCCAAATAATTTCCTTATTTACAGTATTCCAAGCTTTCAAGAGCTTAAAACTGAGTGATTTTTATCAATTTTTATCCGTTTTTTGATGTGATTAAGTCTAGTTTATATTTATTATTTAAATAATAGTAAACTTGGGATTTTCAACTTATATGCTACTATTGGGTTGGTGAATTGAAAACTGCGGGACTTTGAACTAAAATTTATTCAACATAAAACCATCAATTCATTCCAAATAATTTCCATTATTATTGACGATTTCTGCCCATTTTACAGGCAATTTGCGGATTCCTCTTTCGTGGTAGAATTTTGGTTTGTGTGTGAGACAAGTGTGAGACTCAAAAATGGAGGAATGTCTCAGTTTGAGCACTTTCTTCAAAAGAAATCCATTTTGGTGTCAATAGAAAAGTTGTAGAGAATCAAAAATTAGGCTTATAGCGAAATTTCCAAAAAGATACACTTAATAGTTTCGCTTAAAATGCAAGTTTTGTGAAAATTCGTAAATTTATAAATGCAAATTCGGCATTTCTTGAAAACCAGTTTTTGAATCTTTCTGAAAATTTGGATATAAGCTTCATTTTTGATTCTCTACAACTTTTCCATTGAAACCAAAATGGGTTACTTTTGAAGAAAGTACCCAAACTGTGACATATGACAATAGCCGGCAGTTTTCAATTCACCAACCCAATAGCTCAGGCCTTGATTTTATACAAACGATTATCTGATTGCTGTATATTTATGATGAATAAAAGTTAATTCTATATTTCCTTTTTCAAAAAACCCAAAACTTACCACTTGATCATGTTGAAGCCAAGCCTGGGCTCGTGGATTTCGGAAAGTGATTGCAATTGTTTCACCGTCCTTGTCAATACAGAAGTTCTCCTATAAAATCGGCTTTCTTAACCATTTTATGAATAAAGACACTTTTACCTGCTCTGGATTGAGTTCCTGATTGCTAAGCACAACCATTCGAATGCCTTTATCTCGTGGTTCTCTTTGAGCGAATCGGCCAACAGGGTTGAAACCAGGAATGCTTTTCAATTTGAATTGAATCATCGTTTGATCGAATTTTACATCTAAAATTCCTCTACTTTACATAAAATTATCTTGCTTACCAGAAACTGATAGGAAGTCTTTTACGGAAAGTCCTTTATAGAATCGGATCTTGGGCCCATTCCGCCAAACCAGACCGCCAAGAAAAGGACGTCGATCAGTGAAGCGAGGGAACCAAAGTGAGCTAGAATTTTCTAACTTGCTATTAGGTTGGAAAGAAAGTTCTCAGAAAAGGTTTGACTGGAATTCCTTAAAAACGAATCCACCATCTCAAGAACATTTTCTTCTATTATTTACAAATGGGCCCCAAGAAATTACTTGTATTCGTTCCTAGGTATAAACGGATATGGACTAGAATTTGGGTTAAGCTAAAGAGAGTGGATCCTTTTGATATCCCGCCATCTCTAATACCCCGACAACCCAACTCAACTCCTCCAACGTATTAGAGAGGAGTCCCTGTGAAATGACCGACCTGTACTGCAGTTGCATAGACCCGGAAGATATGTATCTTTATTTACAGTAGTACGATAAGACGAATAGATTACAAATAAGTGAAAGGCGATGGGGGACTCCAAGTGAGAGCCTCACTCCTCCTAGGCGGTCCTCCTAGGCAGTCCTCCTAGGCGGTCCTCCTAGGCGGTCCTAGGCGGCCCTCCTAGGCGGTCCTAGGCGGCCCTCCTAGGCAATCCCAAGGACCGCCCCTTCTCGGCGATAAAAGGGATAAGCACAGGGGAGAACACATTTGCATAAGGATAGACAAGTCATTCAATAATAACAATTCTAACTAAAATATCAGTTTGGCTCGGAGCTGACACTCGTAAAAAAAATGAGTGCAGCTTTCCCATAAAATTTTAGAGATATTATAAAAGGTATTATTTTCCGGCTTAAAATCAGCTCAGTTTTTGCACCAGAAAAACGATTTCTTTCTGAGGTAAAGCTAGCATAAATGAGCAATACGCTTTATTTCTATTTTTGGCCAAAAATTGAGGTAGGCTAACTCCCGCAATTTTTTTGCGGTCATCTGCGAAACTGGGTCATTTGCGCAACTCGCCATAACTTTTTTCTAAGTCGGCCAATCGTTATGATTTTGGTCTCATTTTGTAGATCTCAATAAGTGCAACAAAATGACACCAAAATCATAAAGATTGGCCGACTTAGAAGAGAGTTATAGCAAGTTGCGGAAAAGACCTAGTTTCGCAGATGACCCAGTTTCGCAAATGACCCTGTTGCGCAAAAAAAAATTGCGGAAATTAGCCTACCTCAATTTTTCGCTAAAAATAGAGATTATATAGCGTATTGCTCATTTATGTTAGCTTTATCTCATTAGAAATCGTTTTTCTCGTGCAAAAAAGTGAGCTGAATTTAACTGGAAAATGATACCTTTTCAAAAATCTCTAAAATTTTATGGGAAAGCTGCACTCATTTTTTTTACGAGTAATTTTTTTTCTATAAATGCAAAGCTAGCAATACGCTCTATAATCTCTCTTTTTGGCCAAAAATTTTTTTACAAAGAAGCTGTATTTCAAAAAATCATTTCTTTGGTGTCATCTTCTTGGCACTGAGTGTTTGCTAAAATAGGTGATTCTGAAAAGTTAAAGCATTCAGCATGCAGATAAAATTTGCCTTAATCACAAAATTTCCGTCTTTAAAGTACTTGAGTTTAGGTTTTGAATGAAACCCATTGCCTATTCATTAATCCATTAAAAACTTGTTTAAAGGCTGATCACTCAAAAAGTGACCAAATCACTTCAGCTGAAGAAATCTCTTATTTTTTTACCTGAAGCCCACTCTCATTTTTTGTCAAAAACTTTTGAAATATAGTCAAGTTTATCAAAAAACTCTGGAAGAATTCATGGCTTGGTTTTTGAGAAATCACGGTGCAAACTTTTCCGAGAACTTTCTTTCCAACCTAATAAAAAGTGAATAGATTTGTTAAAAGAGTACGGTAGAAAAAGAAAGAGAAACGGATTAGTTACGCACATTTTAGTCACAAGTTTATTTACTAGGAATTTACAACCCTAGTCTAGTACTAGAAATCTTCCAACTCTAGTCTAGTACTAGGAACGTTCTAGGGTCTGAAAGTTGGATCAAACTAGGCAAATTCAGGGCTTGGTTCAGGCAAAGAGCTGGCTTCAGTCCTTGGCCTGACTCGGAAATGCATTTAGTAAAATATTCATGATTAAATATCCATGATTTCATCTAAAAGCTTGAAGAAATCTCTTATTTTTTACCTGAAACCCACTCTGATTTTTTTGTTAAAAACTTTTTGGAATATAGAGAAGTTTATCAAAAAATCTAGAAAGAATTCATGGCTTGCTTTTTGAGAAATCACCGTGCAAACTTTTTCCGAGAACTTTCTTTCCAACCTGATATTATTTAGAATTTTAATCATCATTTTAATTATTTAATCAAGCATCTTTTTGTTTATGTAGATGTTTTCTATATGTTTCATATGTTTTTTTTTTAAACCACTTTTCTTTCTTCCATTCAAAGATTATCCAGTAGATCTTTTTTTCCGTCTTCCTCGTGAACTCGAATTCGATCCAAGGGAAAAATTCATCATCGTAACGCTAGAAGTTGAAAAAAATGTTCAAAATCGTATTTTTTGTTAGAATACTTACCTCGATGCATTGTTGAAAATGCTTTTGAGTGTTTGAATGGTTCAGATCGATTACCAGTTTATCGGTGAAAATGATCGGCTTATCAACGGCACTCAACTTAAATTTGGTTATCAAACAAATGATTGGTTCAAAATATTAAACAATTTCGTTATTTTAGGTTTTTTGGATATAAACGAGCGTTTTAGTAGTCGACAAAATTTTTCTTAAAAACAACAGCAAACAAAAAGAACACAGTTTAATCCAAAATCTATTCACCATTATTATTGATTACTTCTTGCCATCTTTCTTGCCAAAGAATTGAAGTCGCTCTTGAAAAACTCACCCGATTGTGACTCAAAAAAGTTGGCGATCCAGTTTTGGACATCTTCACGGGTTTTGAATTTCTCATTGATTAAAAGGTTTTGCACTGACCGGAATAAATGATAATCTGAGGATCACGAGAATACGACGGATGTGGTAGAACCTCTCATTCTAGATTCTCCAGTTTTTGCTGAGTGTTTTTTATTTTAAGTCGAGGTCTGATGTGACTTTTTGGCCGCGTTTTAGAAGCTCGAAGGCTCTTGTTACAAAAGAAATATAAAAGGCTCTAGTTATTCCACCATACTGAGAGCATGACCTTTTCCCCATGAATGTCCGCTTTCACGGTCTGATTTGACCGTTTTCCTGGTCCTAGTCATTGCCGTTTTCGAATAGCTTTCGTTTCGTTTTCGTTTTTCACTCTTTTTCGTTTTCGAATTTCGAATATTATCGAAATACATCCACTTTTCGTCTCCAGTAACGAAAAAATTTAAAAAAGCCATGATCTTTAGCGTTGCGGATGAGAATTCCGGCAATAGCGATCCGTGAAGCCTTGTTTGCATTGCTTAACTCGTGAGGGAGCCATTTCCTGCATCTGATCGTCTTTCCAATGGTGTGGAGATGCTTATCAATAGTAGAATTTGAATATAGAAACTTTTGAGCAAGTTTACACGTCGTTTGACGTGGATTCGATTCGATCCCACAAAATATCGTTGTCTACCGCTTGAGGTGTCTACAGCATTCAAGAGTGTTCATCATCCTCGAGAAGCCTTGTTTGACCTCGAGACTTTCATCACCACTCCGAAAGCGTTGGAACCAGGCTCGACATCGGCTTTCGGATAATACATCATTCCCAAATGTTTTGACCAAATCTCGATGGAATTCCGCAGCTGTTTTGCCCAGTTTGAAGTCGTAAAGTAGGCAGACGCGAACTTGATATTTGAAATCGGTCATCTAAAAGAAAAAAGATAAAAAATAAGAAACCATCCGTTTAAAAAGATTCCAAATATGCACAAGATAATGTACTTTTAAATAAAGAAAGACTTCACAGAAACCTTTTAAAAGCTTCTCTCACAACAAAAATTTTGGCAATGCTTGTTTATATCCGAACAACCTAATAGTTCACAAATGGTTTTAGCAAAGGTTTAATGACATATTGATTTTGTACCCCGTTGAATTTCGTTTTGTACCCAGTTTCCCATTTGATAACCTCAATGGAAAGATCATCATCTCGGAGATTAGCAAACGTAAAGGTCAACTGATTCTCTTCGAAGGGAGGAACAGCTGTAGTAAATGCCAAAGAGTTGATTGCTAGTTATCAAAGTTATCAATAAGTTACCGTCAATCTTCACATCATCCTGATTCTCTCGAATATCAATTTCCCCATCAAGAGTCAAGGGGAGATGGGTTATTTTTCTGAAATTGATTGTTGACTTGATATCTTTTTTGACTTGACTTTTTCAACTCACCCTTTTCTCCTTGGAAACGTTGCCAGAAGTGCTTTGGTGAGCTCTTGAAGTGATCCACTAGAAGCAATACTTAAACGTTTGATTTCAGCAGTCAGATTTCTCTTGACTTTTTTGACAACATTGCCGATTTGTGCACTCATTTCTTGCTTTTCGGTTTCAACCTTTAAATACTCCTGAAATTTTATTTTGTTTTACATTATTCAAAAGTTTTTCTACCATTTCTTCTTCTGCTTCGGCAACATTCTCCACTTGGTTAAACGGTTGATCCATTATTTTCGTCTGTCTTTTCTTTCGGAAAACTTTTTTCGAAAAAGAATCAGATTCACCAAGCAGAATTTCTTCAATCAAAACCTGAAAATGTTTTCTAATTTTGAAGACAACGAGAGAGAGAGAGAGAGACAACAAATAAGGCCGTAGATAAAGCGGGAAGCTTGAATGGAAAAATGGAAAGCGATCTCTCTGTTACTCGAAAACTGAGAGAATAAAGAATCTCGTATTTGCAATGTCACAACTAAATGTGAATACATATCTAACTTTTACCTTTCTTCAACTTTCCTGTGATCAATTTGAAACATAAAGATGTCACTGTTTTTTTAAAGCCAAGAAGAACAAAGAAAGACGATAACAATGAAATAACAACTATACACATGAAAAAGAGTAAAAGTGTTCTGGTAAATAGAAATTTGTTTCAACACTTCAATTTATAGTCTAAATTACTTAGCGTAATCACTTTGTGCCGCTTCAAGTAGGCACTGAAGAATGAAAAGACTCTTATCAAAATTTCTCTTTCCACCTCTGACTTTATCTCTCGTGAGTCACCCATATGGCACGAATACTTTTCTCGAATGCTACTCGAATACTTTTCTCGTTGAGTCATTGAGCAAAAAAGTTCGGATAGAGGCGTCTTTTTGCTATAAAAAACAAAATTTTCATTTGTCAATCGCGGTAGCTAAAGATATGTATTAGGTTGGAAAGGAAGTTCTCGGAAAAGTTTGACTGGAATTCCTTAAAAACAACACAGCCGGGAACGTTAGTTCGGGTGGGTGGGGCAGTATTTCACATTCATTCGGGTAACGGAGTTAGGGTGGGTGGGTTAACGATTTGGTTTTAAAAATTTGCATTTTAATGGCTTTATACTAGCTTTACCTTAGAAAGAAATCGTTTTTCTTGTGCAAAAAGTGAGCTTTTTGTTTAGGTTTTGAATGGAACCCATTGCCTATTCATTGACCCATTAAAAACTTGGCTAAAGGCTGATCACTCAAAAAGCGAACAAGTCACTTCAGCTGAAGAAATCTCTTATTTTTTATTTGAAGCCCACTCTCATTTTTGTCAAAAACTTTTTGAAATATAGTCAACTAGAGACTTTTTATTTCGGAACTCATTATTACGTGTGCTAGAGAATGTTAAAAGAAAAAAAAGCTTTACCTGCGCGTTCTTTTTCCTGCGTTTGCTTTCTTCATTCAAAATTTCCCCTAAATAACGATAGAGTTGTACAAAATTTGAAGCTAAACTATTGGGTTGGTGAATTGAAAACTGCGGGACTTTGCACTAAAATTTCTTCAACATAAAACCATGAATTCATTCAAAATAATTTCCATTATTATTGACGACTTCTGCCCATTTTACAGGCAATTTGCGAATTCCTCTTTCGTAGTAGGATTTTGGTTTGTGTGTGAGACAAGTGTGAGACTCAAAAATGGAGGACTGGAGATGTCGATGTCCCAGTTTGAGCACTTTCTTCAAAAGAAACCCATTTTGGTGTCAATAGAAAAGTTGTAGAAAATCAAAAATTAGGCTTATAGCCAAATTTCCAAAAAGACTCACGTGGTGGTGGAGTGACGAGCTCGCACATGTTCGTTGGAGGACGTCCAGGATTTCCAGGAGTACCTGGAGCACCATTTCATCCAGGAGTTCCGTGTCTTCCAAGAGCTCCTTGTGGTCCGGCAGGTCCAGGCAAGCAACATCCTTGGCATTGAGAGACTTGACGAGCCACCCTTGTGCTGTTCAACATCTTGCTCTCAACATTCATAAGGCTGACCTATGCAGGCAAAATGTTTTCTTTTCTCAAAACTCATTACCTCAGTCCACGTGTTCTTGATTTCAACACGACATTTCTCAACTTCGCTATTGATATTGCGTCTCATCTGCTGGGTGTAGTTGTAGACCTAAAAGTTTTCGATTAAAAATGTAGTAGGTTTACAAACGATAGGCAAGGTGATGCACACGCTGAAGACGGTGACTGCTGAGAAGAAAACAGCCGCATATCCAACAAATCTGTACGCCCGAATCTTCGAATCTATGTCCATTCTTGATGTTGTGAATCGACTACTGTTAACCAATGGCCTGTTTCCTGCCGAGTTCTCCCTTTATGAGATCTCTTGCGGCAAGCCCCTTCCCCCATCGAAGTTTTCGTTGCCTTTTTCTTTGATAAAAGCGATTAGAATGATTTTGCCTTAACCATGTATTTCGCGGCCTGGTAAAACTGTTATCTCTTGTTTCAAATCTCGATTCATCTTGTTATTTCTGACTTTAGATGAATAACGTTAACTACTTACGTCCAATCATCGACTTCAAAGAGGAGCCTACTCAACCGCTGCGCTTTCGCTTCAACCAGCACTCTTTTGATGTCGAACACGTGCAGACGGGGAAGTTCTTTCGATTCTCACATCCTACCGTCAATCGCGAATATCGACTGAATCACGTGGATACAACCACTGCTGTGGGCATCGCGAAAAGTGGAACGGTATCCTACTTGTTCAGAGGTCTGATAATGCAGGTGGATTCCTTTTTGGTTTTTTTAAAATTCTCTAAAGCTAGATTTAAATATCTGTTACGATGGTTCGACTTTAGGGACCGCCAAACATTGCAACCAATCGGCCACCTCTTTTTCGAAATGTGAGAGGACGTCGTCGAGGAATGATTCATTTGACAGAGGTGGATGTACTAATCAACACTACGTGTGCAGAGTCAAACAGCAAGATGCAAGAAGGGCTGATCAAACACGGATATACAAAGATCAACTAGTTCATTCCATGGGTATGTTTCATCTTTTGTTTTGGATAATTAAAAATGCTAGAGTAAGATCGTTCAAATAAGATTAGATATATTTGAATAGTTTCAAAATTTAAATTTTTCAGATGTATTCATCCGGAAATATTGGCTCATCATCAACTTCTCAATGAAAGCAATAGCCGATCAATAGTTTTTTTTTCTGTTGTTTATTTTTCTGCTCTAAATTTCTGTTAACTGTGCTCGTATTATTTTTCACCCCAGATAGGGCATAAATTCTTTTGTTGGAATATTTACTTTTTCATTTTTTAACGCTTAAAATGCGTAAATTAGCGCATCATTATTTTTTCAAAGCTTTTGAGTTTTCTTAGCAGTGAATAGAGCAAATCAAGTTTTTTTTATTTCAATAGATGCGCCCATAGAATGTGCAGTTCTGACAAAATTTCAGGACGTTTAGTTAAAAACCCGCAATTTGGTGCAACTTTTTGTCTCTCAGTTGAGTGGGCGGGGCTTCATCGTTTTGGTGCGGCGGCTATTGGAATAAATACGGTATTTGCCCTGAAGGTGTTAAGTTTTTTCATGATCGTTTTCACATACCTTTCATTTTGATTTCTTGACTCAATCTGTGTGTTCTCTTTGCTTTCAATGCTTCACTTTCATTATTTAGTTCTGACGATGCTACCTGAACTTCGTTTTTCGAAGGATTTCGATTCTTTCAAAGTGGAACCGGACCATTTGGAAGTAGTCTATGGGACCAAGACTTTTCGTTTTGGATATGCGATCAATTACCAGGATCGAAAATTCTTCATCAAGGCTTTGGATAACACGCTGCTCTGTTTCCCAGGAATGTTGCTTCAGGTCGCCTTTTTATTTCTCTATCTAATAATTCAAAGTTTAATATAAATAAGACGATATAATTGACTCTTGATTATGAGACAAGAGGAGAAAGCTTTAAATTGCCGACTCCCTCCGAAAAATTATAATTTTTAGTGGCAAATCATTTCTTTTTAATTCGGTTAAATGAAGATCTGAGGAGAAATAATTTCATCATGAACTTTCAGTGCCACAATCAAGATGTTTGGCATGGAATTCCCGTAGATGTCACGACAAAGTTTGAAGATATGCTCATGTTTGCTCAATTTGTGGAAAAGCTAGCAAGTGTTGCTGGCTATCAGCAGGTTGAATTTTGAAATGATTTATCTGCAAAATTCATAAATGATTATCATTTGATTTTGGTTTTTGCAGAGTATGCCTTTATATTTTCTCATGCTTCACGAAATCAGTTTTTAGTCACGTGTTGTCAAATGCGATTCATCAGAAAGTATGACATCCGATTCGGGAGACGACGATGCAAGTGACGATGAATCCGACGACGCCAGCCAGGATCAAAACCTGCAATCGCGTGGTGCAGTTCTCATGTTCATCGAAGAAAGGGATCATCCTCTCGAGATTTCCTTCCCCGGAGGATATTTCGAGATTGCTCATTCTCGGAGTGGCACTGTCTATCGATTCGCCTATCCTCCAGGCGCCAGTCGCACGTATGAAATCCACCCGAAAGGTTTCGGTGCGTCCAAGACAGGAACGGTGAAATACCTCGTGAAGAATGTGATGCTGCAAGTTAGTGCTTTTGTTTTTTATTTTTGTTTGGTGTTTTTTATTTGGTATCCTTTTACAAATTAGAGACTATAGTTCTTGAATCACCTCTTACAATTGTTGAAATTTAGAGTCCTTCGAATCAAAACGCTGGACGAGTGTTTCGGGGACGTGGAGGAGGCGGCCCTGCAGCGGGCGTGTTTGTGGACTTGGCCGAGGTGGATGTGTTCGTGGAGTTGGTGACCGCATCTTCGGAGGCCGCTCTCAATGGTTACAGCCTTCAACAAGCGGGTTTTCAAAGGACCAATTAGCCGAGGTTTTCGGTATGTTTCAGCTTGTGCTTTTGGATATCTAATATTGCTCAAGTAGCATAGGCTAAATCACATTACCTGGCTATTGCAAATCTGAAGTCAGCACTCTGCTAAGAGAATTAACTATAAATACTTTGAGTTTATCTCCGGCTATAAGGCTATCTAATTTGAACCTCTACATTTTGCGAAAATCCTTTTATTATTTTAATAATTGATTTAGAAATGACGAAATATTGTTTCCAATAGGGAATTTGAAATCCATGTATATTTATATGAATTAAAATGTTTGGTTTTTCAGGTTCCTGTTTCATCTCGTTCACTAAAGCCTCGTCCTTGTGTCTCGAATCAAACGCCAAGTGACTATTTATTTTTTTCTACTCACCCTCTTAAAGGATGATTTGTGTTGTTCGTTTTTCATGTTAACCCCAAAGATCGGGACATAAATTTTTTAAAAACTCATTTGTATACAACACGATTAGAGTAAAAGGTTTTACAATTTACATAAAACTAAATCTTTATGTAGAGGAAAGGACCCCGAGGCTTAGGCTTGGCTTAGGCTTAGAGTTCTAGCCCAACCTAGGCTTAGACTCATGATTAGAGTGCAATTTAAAGAACTAGCCAAGCCAAAGTAACTAAGCCAAAGTTCAAAGTTCTGTAAAAGTGATATTGAATAAAGTTATTTCGAAGCTAGAAGAAAAAGAAATGGAGTGGATCGATTTGGAGACTGGAGGGTTGAGGTCAACTGGGGGATTCGAAATACAAAAAAGCAATAATGTTTCGCAAGATCTTTTGTCGCTTTTGGAAATAGAAAAGAAAATTGATAATATGCAATTTGACGTGTTTTCTCCGTTAATCGAAAAACCTTACTCTAGAGGATATTTCTGTGCGAAACCCAAGAGTTGGTTTGTTATTGTAAGGGTTTCTGTAAATGTTCAGACATAGATCATTGCAAAGGCTATGCCAGTTGAAAAATGAGAATGCCTAGTTATTTCTAAATATCCTATTTTAAATTTCTTGACTTGTGTGTGCTTACTGCTAGATTATCACTGTGAATAAACAGTGCAAAACTATTACAAACTGTGAAACTATAACAAAATGATTGATGATTGATTGAAAGACTATAATTTCTTTTACCGCTAAAGCTTCTTTGAATTCTTTTGCAATATTTTCATCAGAAAGATCAGCAATTCCATCACAAGGATCTTCATTTCCTTTAGTGAAATCTCTTTCACTTGCTTGCCACATTTGAGCTGCTGCCGCTGAAACCGGTTAATCTGGAAAATGGAGATTACTGTAGTTGTTGAAAGTGTCATCTATTTGCAAGGAACACCGAAATTCCGACGACGATGAACCTTCTACCGTACGCTTCGTCTTTCCAAGCATTTTTACGTCAGATGTCGGAACTACTGTAACCCAACGTCATCAAAAAGTCCTCGTCAGAAAGAATTCTTTAGTTTGGTTTGTTACAGTGTTGCCAAGATAGAATTGTCAGGCTAGCCGGGGTCATGGACTATGGGTTGTCAGGAGGTTTTCGTGGGACAACCGACGCACAAGTGTTGATCGAAATTGGTGTGTCGCCAGATCAACTCGTTGCCGCCACTCGTGTTGAAGTAGCCACGGTCAGCCGCACCATCGGTCTATCCCATAGCGAGGAAGATGATGGACTAGTTGCGCAAGCCAGCTAAGCGAGCTGGCGAAGGATGGATTGTGGATCAGACATGATTATTACGGGGTTCTCGTGTGGTTTTTCCCCGTTTTGTGCTCTTGTAAGGTCTTTTAAACCCGTTGTAATGTTATTTTGCTGAAAAATAATTGTCCTTTCTGCCGCTGAAACCGGTTAATCTGGAAAATGGAGATTACTGTAGCTGTTGAAAGTGTCATCTATTTGTTAGCAACATTTTGTTATGTTATTCATGAGATTTGAAACTAATATTGATGAGCAATACGTTCAATCTTTATTAGCCATCCTGTACAATTCACATTCCAACAATTCTTACAGTATAAATCGCTTTCTCCATTCGATTTTTTCATTTCTCATTGATCACACATTATTATTTCATTATGTCACAATTTTGTGCGTGTCAACAAATCTATCCTCACACGCGAATTACACCCGAAAGATCTGCTCATTTTCCAATTTTGAAAAAAGGCAGAGGGCAAAAGAGAGCGTTATTGTCAATTGAATAATTGATAATTGCAAATTACGGTAATAGAATTATAAGATTAGTGCAAGGTGGTGAAGAGATACCTGGAGTCGGTCCAACAGCTTGCACCATGGTATGCAATTGAGGAACAATGCTTAAGTCATGATGATCCATCATCAAAAGATATTCACTGAAGATTTGAATAAAAATAGGGTATTCAGTCAAATGGAAGGTGTCTCTCAAGAGGCGAAAGATTACGGTAATCCCCGAAAAGTTGGAGCTCATCTACGCTTGGAAAGAGGGGAGAAACCTTGTGATTTCTCTCTGAACACTTGTAAATCCCTAGAGAACTACGTTGGTTTTTGAAAAAAATGGAGAATTTTGATCTTCTTGGCAAACCATTGGGACCTGATAATTGAAATGGGAAAGGAAAAAAAAGGAAAAAGTTTGATGGCGTTTTGAAATTTGAAATTTTGGGCAAATTTTATTTTGAAGAATATGAGTCAATATATATTTGATTTAAGTATTGAAAAACTTGATTAATAGTTCAAAATCAAAAGTTGAGAACTTTTTTTTTACGTTTAGGACAGCTGAATTTGAAATACATGGCGTAGGCAAGTATTTCAATTTGAGTATACTTAGGTGTAGGCAAGCCGAAGTCTTAAGAGCACTAAATTTTATGATGATGCTGGCTATGATAGTGATGTGTCTATTGATGTTGCTAATTGATTTACCTGTTTCCTGATTCAGCAAAAGCTCGCGCAACTTTCTTTCAAAACCACTTTTTTCATAAACCCCCTCAAAAGAAAATCCAGAAAATCCAGAAGTTTTCGGAGAATCATTTTTAGAGTTGTGATATTTTCTTCTTTGTAAATTCAGCTATACAATCGGCAACTCATCCAAAAATGCCCACTTGGGGCCAATTTTTCGAATATTTCTCCTTTTCTTTATATTCTCTTGCCGAATACTCGATTTGGACGAGTAAAAGTAAAACTTTTCACTCACCATTTTACACCATATTTCTGGCTATAGGTGGGTGATTTTAAAGCATTCCCCAGCTATCGTAATCCATAAATCTCTATATCTTTATAATCTTACTCTCTCTTCATTAGTTACTGTAGCCAAGTATTTAGGTACTGTAAATCTGGGTATTAATTGGACATGGTGTACGGTAATGAATAGCAATGCGTTAGAATTATAATAGTTCTTTTCGTCTACTATTTCTAAATTTATTACGGTGAGCCGGGGGACATTTGATATTTGATCGAACATTCGATACAAGCTCCGTTCCTTTGAGCTCAAATTTCTTGGTGTTGGGCTGTTCAATTTAAATATTCTTGATATGATAAGATGCTCCAAGTCTTTCTCTGTCGATTGGACGATACCAATCGACAGATAAAGACTTGGAGCATCTGATAATACCAATAATATTTAAATTGAACAGCCAAACACCAAGAAATTTGAGCTCAAAGTTAGCTTGCCAATGTATACTATGAATTTTCTTTAAAGTCGATCGTAAATCTAGAATTTGAGGCATGTTGGATTTGATCTCTTTCCCCTTCTACCAGATTCGTCCTTTTTTCAATAGCTGGCCACCAGGGCGAACGATTAATGGATTTTTTACAAAGGTGAGCGGGCTACAGTAAGCTTTTAACTATACTATAGCTGTTTGAGGATCCTTTAAACGACAGTACTCCATTGAACTTTAGATTTTCCGTGACGGTCATTATTATTTGAATGTGGTCATGTCGGCGAATCGGCTCACCATTGTGCTTTTGCCAGCCGAGCACACGAGGGTACTGTAGTTTGAAATTTAAATAAAGCTACAGTACTCGTTCATTTACTCTAACTTCTCCAAAATTTCCTTAAAACTTTAGATCTGGCAATCGCACAATTTACGACGAGCGATCGCTTTCTGCATTTTTCTCATGTTTTCATATTTTTGTACGGATGGAAAAACGAGAAAATGGGCTACTCGCAAGTGATCGATTTTGATGCGGTGAGTTCACAAATTTGGTCTAAAAGTATGAAATGTCGCTGGTTTTTTAAAAGAATACATTTATTTACAAGAGTAATGTGGTAAAAACAATACATAAGCCCTAGGCCCTAAGCCCTAAATTTAGGGAAAAACTCAGAAATCTGATATAATAGATATCAGAAAAAAGAATCAATAATCTATCCGAGAGTTGAGAATAATCTATGGGCTAAGAAATAGTACTGTACTGTAGTACTGTAGAAATAGTACTGTACTGTAGTACTGTAGAAATAGTACTGTACTGTAGTACTGTAGCCTGGATATTTAAATAGCTCAATGAGCCTGGGCACTGAGGTATTTACTTAGCAAATTTGCTTTCATTTTTGCAGTGGAATCGTTTCTACTATGCTCTCCAATTGATCATTGCCACCGTTTCGTGTTTTGTAATGAACGTGATCACACTCTGGAAAATGAGGTTAGTGAGAGATTATCGAACATTCGATACAAGTCCCGTCCCTTTTGCCATTGGCAATATAACTTTGAGCTCAAATTCTTTGGTGTTGGGCTGTTTAATTTAAAGATTCTTGGTATCAATCGATAGAGAAAGACTTGACGCATCTAATGATACCAAGAATATTGAAATTTGTCGGTCCAACACCAAGAAATTTGAGCTCAAAGTTAGTTGGCTAATGGCAAAGGGGGCGGGGTCAAATGTCCGACAATCAGATTGAACAGCTGCCAAGAAATGGGAGTTTTTCTGTTTTCCCATAGCTATACAGCGCAAAAATCGCCCAAAAGCATGATCCGGTAGTTCACACGGGAATTTGTGCAACGAGAAAAGAAAGAAACGGAAGTATTACAGTAGACATAAATTTTAAGCGGATCAAGTACAAATCCGTTAGTCATAGCTGAATATCTTGAATCTCTTTACATTAAAACTCGCTAGTTTTTCTGTGTGTTACGAATAATATGAATCGTCTGAAATCTCGGCATTACGGGAGACGCATGCAGCTTGTAGCTTTGTAAAAACTTAGCTTAAGTTAAGTAGGATAGTTGTTCGTCTTGAATAAAAGTTCTAAAAATTGCGTTTCTAAAAGTTGCGCTTTACCGTAAACCCCGCGACCCCTAGCTTTCATCATCTAAAATCTAAAATCTACTATCTAACAAATCTGTTATAATAAAATCTTCATATCTATTATAATAATTTCTTCATTTCCTTTAGAAACATCAATAGTCAGGGTCAATGGAGTCTTTTGGGTATCTCTCTCATCAGCACTCTCCTCGCCATTCCACCGACCATCTATCAGGTTTCACTTTCGCACGTATCTTCATGTTTGTAGCCAATTCCTAGAAACTTCGAGTAGCTTTTTTGTGCTCTACACGAAAGAAACACAAATTTCTTATTCGTGAATGTTCTAAATTCTAATCTGACAGACGGAAACAGAAAAAGATCGCAAAATTATTCTACTTTTTGTGGATGCGCTTCATTATGGGTAATTATGACACATCCTGTATACCCTATGTTTCGTATTGCCACATTGCCAACAAGTTAGTATGCATTGCCAACCGTATTGCCAACAAGTTTATATGCAAGCTCTTTGACATCTTACTTCATTGAATTTTAGCATATTTTTTCCTAGTTTTGAGATGATTTTGAATAGATTTAAGTCAGACCTAGTGAATATAAACCCAACAAAGTCATTTATACTATTTTCCCATAATACCAAACTAGAATCATGCCCGGGGAAATTAGCATTTATCCTGTTTTCGTTGGCGTGGGGAAAAAAGATTGCGGAAGTGTCCATATTTTTCACTTTCAGAGTCTAATGGCCTACACGGCTTTCGCGGACAATCCCACACTCGAAAGCGCTGTTTTCAATTCAATGGTAAGTTTGAAAAAAATCTCTTGCTTTCTTACAAAATATAGAGAAGGTGTAAAACTTTGTAAATGCTCGATCCTGACAAGAAAGTCTTTGGAACGATTTGAACTGGAATTTCTTAAAAACGAATCCACCAATTCTCTTTGTTCTATTGGGTTGGTGCATTGAAAACTGCGGGCTATTTCGCGGGACTCGCAGATAAAGAAAAGAACACCATTGAACCAGCTGAAAGGGGGGTTGTTTACTTCAACATTTCCTCTAATTATTGAGAAAAATTATGCTTCCAGCTTTTTATTTTTTGGTATTTTTCTTCACTTCTTCTATTGCACTCGACAATCTGCTACCGGGACATATTCGCTCTGTGATGCTTCATGAGTTCCTACATACAAGAGCACAGTGCAGGCTTGACAGCTGCTAATATTAAAAAGATATATGGGGAGGACTCACCTTTCAAAAGAACGTGCCAACTATGGTTTGCCAAGTTTCGTTCTGGGGAGAAATCTTTGAAAGATACAGAGGGCCGTGGAGCGGCACCCCAATTGGATGATTCCAAATTACTCGAACTCATTACCAACGACCATCGGGTATCATCGCGTGAATTGGGAGAAGAGTTAGGGGTTGATCATACTACAGTGCTAAGGCACCTTCATACTCTTGGATTTAAATCGAAACTTGAGGCTTGGGTGCCCCATGATCTCACTGACCCCCAGAAGTGGTAGTGCGCCTCGATCAGTGCCGCCCATCTCACGATACGAAAAGAAATATTTTCTTTCTTGAATTGTGACAGGAGATGAGAAATGGGTTGATCTGTGAATTTTCAGAGGAAGTGGCAATGGGTGGGGTCAGGACAGGAAACCCGAAAGTAGCCCCAAGCCCGATTTGCACTAGAAGAAATTTATGCTCTGCGTTTTCTGGGATAGGGAGGGAGTGGTGTAGTGGGAGTCGCTGGATAGCAAGAAGATCCTTAATTCAATCAAATGGAGTGAACAGCTGGAAAAGGTCAATTAATCCCTGAAGAAGAATAGGCCCTCCAAGTCAAAGATTGTTCCACGACAACGTTCCACCACGACAACGCGCGCCCTCATGTTGCAAAACTGACTCGCTCTAAAATAAACAGCCTTGGTTAGGACTTTTGGCGCATTCCCGCATACAATCCGGACCTCGCCCCTTCTGATTACTATTTATTCCGGACTATGAGTAATGAGCTTGCGGGAGAACACTTCGATTCGGCAGAAGCAGTCAAAAATTGGCTCCAAAAGTTTTTCGATTCAAAACCAAAATCCTACGACGAAAGAGAAATCCGCAAATTGCCTGTAAAATGGGCAGAAGTCGTCAATAATAATGAATTATTTGGAAATTATTTGGAATGATGGCTTTATGTCGGATGTTGAATAAATTTTAGTTCAAAGTCCTGCAGTTTTCAAAGCACCAACCCAATATTATTTACAAGTCGACGCCAAGAAATTCCTAAGTGTAAAAAAATGAGTGCAGCTTTCCCGTAAAATTTTAGAGATTTTTGAAAAAGGTATTAGTGTCATATTATTGTCAATGATTTGTCATTGTCATATGATTGTCAATGGTTTCTGAGCGTTGGCGCAGACAACTCAAATTCCCAATTCCTGCTAGAGCTATCTCCTAAATTGCGGTTTTGGATTGTAGTCAACTATTAGACAGATTAATCATCGATTACCCTTTTTTCTACCCACTTTTTTCTACTCAATATATGTTTCTACATATGACTTTCTCACGGTTCTAACCATTTCAAACCCCAAAAGCTAGACTTGTTTGAATTTCTGTATCAAGAAAGAGAAGACGTACTTTAGAAATAGAATACCGTTATTCATGGATATTAAAGGATTCGAAAAAAGACTATAGTAAAAAGGGATTACGGTAGTTGTAGCTCGGCTGAGGCTGAGAATATATTGACTGCCTAATCTAGTACCCTTTCCAGAGCTCCTGGGTTTTCTCCTTTGCTGGTTACTATCAACCGTACTGGTTACTGGCTGTCTCGAGTGAGTCAAGACGGGAAATCTTTCGTTATTTCCGTCGCTTCTTGGCCCAACACGTCACTCCGCAAATAGCGACAAACTCAAAGAATCTGAATCCAAGAGTTGTCGTCGACTTTCAGTCAACGATGAAAGTCAGATGGCAAAAGTTGAGGTGTTTTTGTCGAATTGTTCAAAATGTAGGATAAATCTTTTGAATTTTTAAACTTTTCTTTAAAAATCAACTCAAAATGATAGCTGGTTTAGCTTCAAATTTTAAGCAACTCTATCGTTATTTAGGGTAATTTTTGAAGGAAAAAAGCAAACTCAGGAAAAAGAACCCGCAGCAAAAGCGCAAACAGCACGTTTTTAAAAGACATTTTTTGGGCATACGGCAGATTATCCCCGATTTCGAATCCAGTGCCGCCAAGGAGACTCTCGATAGCAAAAAAAGGATCAACAAAGGATCCTCTACAAGGATTGCATAAAGAAAAATCTTGAAAACAGGGTCATTTGCGCAACTGGGTCGTTTGCGCAACTCGCCATAACTTTCTTCTAAGTCAGCCAATCTTTATGCTTTTGGTTTCATTATGTTGTACTTATTGAGATCTACAAAATGAAACCAAAATCATAAAGATTGGTCCACTTAGAAGAAAGTTGTGGCACTCTGCGCAAAAAAATTGGCGCAAAGTAGCCACCCCCGAATCTAGTACCGTTTCTTTCTTCTAAGTGGACGAATCTTTATGATTTTGCTTTCATTTTGTAGATCTCAAGAAGTGCAACAAAATAAAACCAAAATCATAAAGATTGGCTGACTTAGAAGAAAGTTATGGCGAGTTGCGCAAAAAAAGTTGCGGAAATTAGCCTACCCCAATTTCTCACTTATAGGAACCAGCAAAAGACCGTTAAAGATATTCAGCTAAGCAAATGTAAGTTTTTTTGAAAGTAAACGAAAGTACAAATCAACAAGTTTTAAAAAAAATATTAAAAAAATTGGGAGTGGGACAAATGCTACCTTTTTTTTGCGTACCTGGACATTTGCGCACCTTTTTTTTTGCTAGAAAAGGCCTTAGGAAAGGTCGTAGAGCTTCAAAAAAGTTTTCATAGAAGGGAATCGTATGCGTAGATTCCGAATTTCGACAAATCAGATTTCGCTGACACGTCAAATTTGGACTAAAAGGCAAAAACTACGCAACTTAACGCTTTTCCGCAGTTTTTGCCCTTTAGCCCAAATTTGACGTGTCAGCGAGGTCTGATTTGTCGAAATTCGGAATCTACGCATACGATTCCCTTATATGGAAGTATTTTCGAAATATTTTCGAAGCTCTACGGCCTTGCCTAAGGCCTTTTCCAGCAAAAAAAAGGTGCGCAAATGTCCAGGTGCGCAAAAAAAAGGTCGCATTTGTCCCACCCCCAAAAAATTATTCTATCAATCAATTCGAATCAAAATTTTTGCAATTTTCAATGATTTCTAACAGGTAGGACGATGGGAAATTATTAATCAAAAACTTCAAAAACAAAAACAAAAGGGTTTTTTCCTTAGCTTTAGTCTCTCAGTTGGGTGGGCGGGGCTTCATCGTTTTGGTGCGGCGGCTATTGGAATAAATACGGTATTTGCCCTGAAGGTGTTAAGTTTTTTCATGATCGTTTTCACATACTTTTTT